TTTCAGTGCATTCAATTTTAATGTGTCTACCTAGGTGCATTCATGGATTATATCATCCAGCTTTAACCAAACTAATCCTCCAGGGTAGCCAAGTGACTTACAAGATTCCTGCCAAGAAACTGCAACCAATCCTGCTGAGCCAGAGAGAAGTGGCTGGCTGAGGAGTTCCGCACAAGTTCATCATCACAAGTCCCAGAGGTGGGAGGAGGGCAGGACAACAGACACTCTGAGGGCAGCTGATATGCTCAGTGGACAAAGGAGCTTGCTGCCAAGCCCTGGATGACCCGAGTTCAATCCCCAGGACCCACATGGTGGAAGAAGAGAACCAACTCCCTAAGAGTTGTTCTCTGACCTCTAACCTACACACACACTTACAGAGAGAGAGAGAGAGAGAGAGAGAGAGAGAGAGAGAGAGAGAGAGAGAGAGAAAAGAGAGAGAGAGGGGAAAGAGAGAGAGAGAGGAATGAGAGAGAGAGAGAGAGAGAGAAAAGAGAGAGAGAGAGAGGCTTTACTGCTTTTAAAGTACTATTTGAAACACTCCCCTCCCATCCTTCCTAGTACAGTCTCAGCTCTAGGAGCCTTGTGCCTTAAGATATTCATCAATGACAGCATAAAACCCTCATGGTTCACCAGACATTTAAAAACAGTCTTCAGAACATGAAGACAAACCCCTGTAATTCTTTTCCCTATGATGTTTAAAGCTATGTGCTTCTCAGCCCAGCACTTCTGATGTTTCCCTAAGCAATGATAAATATTTGGAAAGCGCTTGTAAAGTTTCTTACATAATAGCATAAGACAACAGGAAAAAAAAAAAAAAAAACACCTAACACCAGGCACAGTTTTTCTTTCTGCTGCAGTAAAAAATGGCAGAAACAATGAGCAGTAAATGATCTGTCGACAAACCGGAAGGCACATCTTTGTCCGCAAATCCTCCTGAAAGATGTGGGGGAAACATTGCCGTTGATTGGAAGAAGCGAGTATTAGAGAAAATTACCCAGTGTGGGAGGTTTTCTCTACAGTTGACTGGAAGTACAGATGTTTCTAGCACATCGCAGCTTAAGGTATCTTCTGGATTCTCTCTCAGTAACGAAACACACACACCACTCTCTGGGTGCGTGCGCCACGAACGGCGAGCTACAGCAGGGAAGATATACTGCCCACAGTAAATGCCTTGTTGAAGGAAAGCAGTGGCCGATGGGGAGCATGGTAGAAGTTACGCTGATGGAAGGGCCGTTTGGAAAGGATGTTTAAAAGGATTCTGGGTAACAGTTGAGGCTCAGCACCTTCAATTCACCCACCTGCTCGTCCATCCATGGTCAATCCAGCACCAAGAGCAGAGAAGCCTGGGCACAACATCAGATGGAGGAGGTGTAGGGTGAGCTTCTAAAAAAACAAGATCCTCACCTTAGAGCAGAATCGTTGCGACTGATAATGACGTTGGGTGTGATTTTGAAAGCTCTCCAGGCCAGACAGAATGAGTCAGGGATAATTGTGGCAAAGTCCTCAAAGACAGTGTCCTGAGTTTACCCCAAGCCTTCTCTGCCACTGGCACGGTCTCACTGTGCTGCCCCGGGGTAATAGGAAACTCCTGAGCTCAAGAAACCTTCCTGCTTCAGCCTCCCCAGTAGCCGGAATCATCTGGTTCCATTCCTCCTCTCCCTTCTCCTCCTCTCCCTCTTCCTCCTCTCCCTCTTACTTTCCCTCCTTCCTCTTCTCTTCCTCCTCCTCATCTTTTTTCCTCCATTTTTTTTTTTTTAGGTACTGTCTCACTATATAATCCAGGCTGCCTTATGGAGCCCAAGCTGGTCTTGAACCTGTGGTTATCCTCCTGCCTCAGTCTCCCAAGAGCTAGAAATTACAAGGCTATACCACTATGACTGGCTCTTCTAGACGCGTGTGCTGACACTTATTAAGGCGATGAGAGCTGTCTGTTTAGGTACTTGGTAAAAAAGCTTGAAAAATAAATGTGCTTTCCCTCCCTGTTCGTGCCCTCGTAGTGAGGATGTCCTTTTAATGACAAAGCATGAGGGTCACTGTCTTTGAATCTTTGAATACTGTTTTGTGGTGGGGAAAGAGAACCTGGTGACAGATTTGAAAGGCTTTTCTTTGCATGGACGTGAGCACCTGAGAGAGCGTTCATAGAGGCCAGAAGAGCAGCACACGGCCTCCTCTGGTACCCCCTGCCTTATTCCTTTGAGTCTGTCTGGTTCTGAACCTGGAACTCACAGCTACCGAGCTCTGAAGATCCTCCTGGCTTCGTTCTCCTGGGTGCTGGGGTTACAGGCATGTGTGAGGCCATGCCTGACTGGGATCTGAACTCTGGTACTCAAGTTTGAGCTGCAAGTGCTCCTGCCACTAGCCACTAGTCCAGCTCCTGAAAAGGCTTTTCACTGAGGCTTGATCCTATGGCCAAAGATGTATTTTTAGAAATTAAATTATCGCGGGGCGGTGGCGGTGCACAGCTTTAATTCCGGCACTCTCGAGGCAGAAGCTAGCGGATCTCTTAGAGTTCGAGGCCAGCCTGGTCTACAAAGCGAGTTTCAGGACGACCAGGGCTACACAGAGAAACCTTGTCTTGAAAAAGAAAGAAAGAAAAGAGAAAGAAAGAAATTATTGATTTTCTCTCTCTCTCTCTCTCTCTCTCTCTCTCTCTCTCTCTCTCTCTCTGTGTGTGTGTGTGTGTGTGTGTGCTCTTGTATGTACATGCCCATGCATGCCACAGACTTCTTGTGGAGATCAGAAGACAACATTGTGCAGCCGGATCTCTCCTTTTACCTGTAGGTGGATCCTGAAGATCAAGCTTACTTTGCTGGGCAGTCAGCAGCAATTTCACCTGCTGAGCCTTCTCGCTGGTGCCCCAGCAATGTATATGACTAATAAAACCCTCATACACACCTTGATGCTCCGAAGTAGAAACTCATCTACTCTGCTTTTGAAAATTTAGGTATAATCTACACACACTATAAAAGTTGCCCCTTTAAAGTGCACAAGTTAGCAGTTTTCAGGGCATTCACGGAGTTGAACATCTATTACCCGGCACCTAATTTCGGGATAAGCTGTTTTTAAAACTGCAAGTTTTAAAATGAAGAGGTCCCTGGGTTTTGAACAAATTTATAAAACATAAATGTGTAACGCCACTCCATTGTGTTGAAAGAGCAACCAAATGACACCCAAGAAGACAGAAATATATCAGCTGGAGCCAGACAAAAGCCTTGCATAATTGGTGGATGGAATTTAAAAACCAGTATGATGACTCGGAAGCTCTGCTAAGAACGCCTTCCTCCACTCAGCCTCCGAATTTTCACAACAGACAGTAAAATTCGGAATTGAAATGAACTATTCCAAGAGCCAAGACTTCAAATGGATGTTTCACCGTGTTAAATCAAGATTTTAGCAAATAAGGAAACATATTCAATCTTCCTAATATTACTAGTGGGAGCAAAGTGTGTTTTTGTACCTTCATAAATGTACAAATAAATTTGTAATGCTGAAAAATTTGCTGGGAAGCGCAGTCGATTCCACCTTTCCGTAGTTCTTTCAAATGTCCACATTGGGCAGGTTAGGTAGGAGCCAAGCATGACTGTACTGGGGTGGTGTTCCACAAAGTTCCCTGTGCAGGTCAGAGATGGTTAGGGAGGGTCTGCACCTCCCCTCGAGCTGACCAACTCCTGCCTCTGTGTGTGTGTGTGTGTGTGTACGCGCGCGCGTGCATGCACACATACACACACACCTGAAAAAAATAGAAAAGAAAGAGAAAAGATGACATGCTTCCAGAAACAGCCAGGGCTGGCTGGTCTAAATCCTTTTTCGAAGGCTGTTACCACAGCACTCTAGACTTCACGGTTCCTCCCCTCCTTGACACCTCTTCCTTGCCCCCCCCCCCCATGCCCTCATCCCAACCACCCTCTCTGACTCTGTCCTTCTAATGTCCCTGATGACCACTGCCCCAGGCCCCTTGCACTGCTGTTCTGCCATTCAGGCCTTTTCTTTGTTCAGGGTTCTTGCTCAACTAGCTGTCTCCCTGGCCTGATCTCCACCATCACCCACCCCTCCCAATCTGGGCCCTGTGCTCTAGATGCTCCAGGCTTTCCTTCTCCAAAGAACCTACTAGAACGCCGGGCGTGTGGCTCACACTTAAAATCCCAGCGTTTGGAAGACTACAGCAATAGAACTGCTATACATTTGAGGCCAGCTTGGGCTACCGAGTCTCAGAAAGAAGAGGAGCAAGATGAGGAGTGGGACATATTACTAGAGGGTGGGGATGTGACTCAGGGCAGAGCACATTCCCAGCAGGCACTAGGCTCTTGTTGGGAGCCGAGGAAAAAGAAAGCGATTCTTGGCATTGTATTGCATAACACTTTATTATTGGTTTGCCTCTCCCGGGAGAACACATAGGGGATTTCCTTAGTTCAGAAATGTCGGTGCAGCCTGAGATGATGTAGCAGTCTGTGAGGTGCAGCGCCATGAATTTCCTAGCTGGGCAGTAGACATGGGAGGGCTGAGCGACTCCAGAATCTTCTCTCTGAGGATTGGCATGGTTGGGCCATGAAGGCCTCTGCAGGAATCCAAGCTTGGTGGGGGCACCAATGGGAGGGTGCAGGCTTGGTCCTCTATAAATTTTCGTTGAGGTCCTCTCCTCTGCAAGCAGCTGGGGGATGAGGTCAGAGAGGGGAGTCCTGACTGCCCCAGGAGAATCAGGGCCATGTTGTCATGGTGCCTCCGGAAGGAGGAGCTCTGTGAGGTTTGAGGATGGCTGCTAGTTCAGAGGTGACTGTGCCCTTGTGAATGCTTGGGTAGGTGCCCTGGAAGCAGTCACTCTAGACTGGGATAAGAGTTGAGGCTACAAGCAGAGAGGTCCTAGGGTAGGGCCCACAGCCAGAATGCAAGGAGCACAGGATAGAGATGCAGTGGAAGGAGGGGACAATGAGAAGTTAGTGGGTGGTCAAGGTAAAGGAAGCACCAGGTTAGCGCCTGGGACCTGGTGGGTGGAGCCCAGAGGACTACGCAACAACCCCCAGTAGCATCAGCACCGTTCAGGCCAGCAGCGACAGGGCCAGCGGGGTGGTGGCTGGGCCTAGGCTACCAGCGCTGTCCCTGACAGGGATGGTGGTGGTGGTCTGGCGGGTTGTCGTGGTGGTCTGGCTAGGGGCGGTTTCACTGCTCTCGTCCTCAGGGGGCGCCAGACCGCAGTCGGTGTAGGGCTCCAGGCAGCCTGCAAAGGCCAGGACGTGCGCGATGTAATTCTGCTCCTGCACTCCGTGCAGCAGGTGTGCCTGCGGGCCACGCGCGAATATCGCCACATCCTCCCCGCCGTGGGTCTCCGACTTCACCGGCACAGCCGCCTGCTGTTGGTATGAGGGGTCACCTGGAGGGACAAGACATTCAGCGAGAAGGTCTCTCAAGATCTCTGTGGAGTCCCCCCTGCCCCACCCTCAGGCAAGCCGTGACATTGCACTCACTGCTTTCAGCAGCGGTGACGTTGGGTCTTTCCCCTGTACCAACGTAACCCGGGCCATTGCCATACAGGATGGAGGTGTAGGACTTGCCGTCCAGAGCTTTGAGCGGGGCCAGCCCTGCATAGAGGAAGAGAGACACCTTGTTCTCCCAAAGACTGAAGCTTAGACGCTTCACCTTTTGTCTGCCCAGTGGTTGCTAGATTTCCACAAAGCAGGTGCCCTTTTCTGTCCATTTAACAAATAGAGAAGGGGAGGATCAGACAAAGTTCTTTACATAATTGATGCAAAACAAAACACAACAAAAAAACCCAAACAGCAACAACAACAAAAAACCCGCCACTTGTTCCCGACCTACCGAAGATGGAAGTCCCCCGAAGTGTGTAGCCCCCAAAGGAGAAGACGTGGGAGTGGTCAGCGGTAACTATGGTCAACGTGTCTTTCTCACTGGTGAGTTGGCTGGCCTTCTCAATGGCTGTGTCGAACATGACAGCCTCAGTCAGCGCCGGATACGCCGTGCCCAGATGGTGACCACGGTCGATTCTGCCACCTGCAGGAAACCAGTGAGCGTGAGCTCCAGCCTGTCCTTGTCTGTTGCCTCCTTTTTCCATGGGGTCCTGAAGACTCACCCTCCACAAAGAGGTAGAAGCCGTTGGGGTTCCTGCTCAGCACTCTCAGGGCTGCCTCTGTCATGTCCTTCAGAGATGGATCCATCAAAGGGTCCCGCTGAATGTCGAATTTTGTGTCTACAGGCTCAAAGAGGCCTTAGGGACAAAAGCCAAAAAATTATGGTGACCAATAAGCTTGGTAGTAGGGTCACAGTATGTGCACATACACACATGTTCAAAGGCTGCCGAACTGACGGGGTACCAGTGCAGGAAGTGTGGGGTCATTACCCATGAGGTATGTCACTGATGGATCAAGGGACTTCTGAATGAGTTCTTCACGGTTCCAAACATACTGGGAGCCCTAGAGGGGCATAAATGATTGGTAAGGCCCACAGCCCTTCCCCATTCTCTGCTGTGCCACAATCAGTGTGCACCTCATCACCTGGTGCTTCGACAGCCATTCCTCCACCAGGTTCCGGCCATCAAGTCTGGTTCCGGTCTGGTTAACATCAGTCGGATACTCAGGGTCTGGGGTTCCTTCAGGAAACATGTATTTTCGGCCCCCACCGAGGATCACCTATGCTCAGAGAGGATCAGAGAAGGCAGACTTAAGGGCCTCTGCTTCCTTTCCAACCAGGACCCAGCTCCCCACCAGGATCCAGGGAGCTCAGGCTTTATTCCTCACATTGATGTCCATGTTGGAGACAAGCTGTGTAGCAATGTCCTTGCAGCCCTCCTGCAGGGCAGAGGCAGGCATATCAGCATCCCCGTACCAGTTCCGGTTCACCGTAGGTGCCGGCTGGAGAGGCGTGCTGCACCCTTGTGGTGGTCACCAGTCCTACGGCCTTTCCTGAAGACAGCAGAGGTCAGGGTGGGACATGCAGTCTCCCAGGCCCGCCCCCATCCCCGAGCCTGGCTCCAACCCACCTGCTTTCTTTGCACGGTACATCGCCGCCGAGATGACCTCATTGCCGAATGTGGTGTTGCACTCGTCAAACCGTGTGGCCGCGCTCACGCCGATGGTCTTATAGTTGGTCTTGACCCCACACAGGTAGGCTGTGGCTGTGCTGGCACTGTCTGGGACCTGCCTGTCCACACTGTAGGTCTGGAGACAGAGACATCCTCAACTGGCCTCAAAGCAGACGTCTGTTTCTTCACCCAAGCCTGGGACCTGCTCATTATTGCCAGGCCCCGAACTGGGCTCTCAGTATCCGGGGTCCTCTCTGTCACCCTTTCCCTGGGTCCTTGTCAGCCTCTCCCCACATCCCAGATATGTGGCTCAGTACTCACCTTGGACAGAGCCATGTAGGGGAAGCGGTCCATGGCTAGGGGTGTCTCGGGTCCTAGATGGCCTTCCAACTGTCCCTTTAGGATCCTGGTGGCTGTCACTGTGGGCACCCCCATCCCTGAAGGAATAGAATCTGGTCAGACCTGAACCCCAGACCTTCCTGGACCCACCAGTGCCCTTGAGGGCTCGGAGTGCAAGGACCCCAGGGTGGCCAGGCCTCAGACACTCACCGTCCCCCAGGAAGATCATGAGGTTCTTGGCTGACGTCTGGATGGGCTGCAGCTTCTTGGCAGTACTCAGAGCTTCGGCTGCCTTTTGGTTCCAGAAGGCTGGGTTCTCCTCCTCCACTGGCCAAGGAAATAGCAGAGGAAGGGTTAGACTAAAGGTTCACGTGCGTGAATGGATCAGGCATCCAGAGGAGCCTCATTACCTGGGATGACACTCAGTGACAGCTGCAACCTGAGGCGCAGCAGCAGCAGCAGCAGCCAGGCTCCCTGCATGGCTGGGGCTGGGGGTGGGACAGCAGAGATGGAGAGCTGGGACACCAGGGTACTAACTAAGGCATAGTCTGCCTGAGCTTAAATAGGGGGAGACTTTGTTCCTAGATGAACAATCTCGTGTTCCTCCCCTGGAACCAGGTGGCCACGCTGGCTCCACCTCCGTCCTGTGAACTGAACTGTACCCCTGCTTACTGGAGGAAAATGGCAGGGTGTATCTGGTCCAGCCTGGGCCAGGGTCCTGACAGAACAAGTTCTGTGTTTTCCCCAGGTAGGGTTGGGGGGCTGTGTGGCTGCCCTCTGGGCAAGGACCCTGTGCTCCATGCTGCCAAGGAGCTCACACTGTCCTGTACGGACACATCACCCTTGCTCCTGAGTCAGGGGGAGCAGATGTTGTTCTGGGTGTGGAAGGGGAGCAGGTCTGGAAGGACTCAGTTTGGACGAGGGACTTTTATTTGCTCTCCCGAAGCCAGGAGCCACACTGCCAAAGGAGATAAGTACATGGAACACCCTGAGTCCCAAGCTGTCCAGCTTGACCTGGGCAAGAACCTGGGATTTTTCTCTCTGTTGTTTGTTTGAAATCAGGTTGCAGATAGAAGAAGAAGTGCCACTCACTCACAATGGCCCCAGTCAGGAGCAACCATGTGTTAGGGTTTGGATATGGCTGGAGTCTGTCCCCCACAGGTGCATATGATACGTGCTTGGTCCCTAGTTTAGTAACAGTGCTGGGAGGTAAGGGAACATTGAAGGAGTGGAAGGGAGAGGTGACTAGGTCTTTTGAGGCTATATTCTTAGAAGGGGTTATCGTATCTCATGAGCTCCTACATAGTTCCTACTAGGCATGGTTATAATAAAAGACCAAGAATGGCCTCTCCTTCATTTCTGGCTCCCTTGGGATCTTTCTGTCCTCTGTAACCACATCATGGTGCTGTTCACCATGTGATGTAGTGAAAAAGACCCTTATGAGATTCAAGTACACACGAGAGCCAGGGCATTGGACTTCCAAACCTACTTAAAGAGACCTGCTTTTTTATTTACTCCCCACTGCCAGATACTTTGCTATCACAGTGGGAGACGGAACTCTAAACCAAGTGTCCTTGGGTGGATGAATGGATAAACAAACAAGAAGCGACCCAGCCGGTGGCGGTGGCAGTGGTGCGCGCCTTTAATCCCAGCACTCAGGAGGCAGAGGCAGGCGGATCTCTGTGAGTTCGAGGCCAGCCTGGTCTACAGAGCAAGTTCCAGGACAGGCTTCAAAGCTACAGAGAAAGCCTGTCTCGAAAAACAAAAACAAACAAAGAAAAAAAAGAGAGAAATGGTCCATACAAGAAATCGAATACCATTAACCTGAAAAGAGAAGACAGTCTGCTGTGTACACAGACTCAGAAGCTGGAGGCAGGAGAATCTGTAAGGAAGCCATGGCTACACAGTGAGTTAAAAACCAACATGGTAATCATCGTTAATCCCAGAATTTGGGAGGCAGAGGCAGGAATATATCTGTGAGTTTGAGACTAGCCTGATCTAAGTCCACCACCACCAAACCAAAATCAAACAAACCAAAATCAAAAGCAAGGGAATCCTGACTCATACTGCAGTGTGGACACACCCTGAGGAAACTCTGCTAAGTGAAACCAGCCCACCACAAAGGCACAACACTGTCTCATCCTTCTTGGGTGCCACCAAGAGATATAAAATGCTCTACATACAGAAGAATGACGAGGCGCTGGAGAGATGGTTCAGAGGTGACAAGCACATTCTGTTTCTGTACAAGATCCGAGTTCAGTTCTCAGCTCCCGCATCAGGATGCTCACACCCGGCTGTAACTCTAGCTCCAAGGGATCTAATGGCTTCTTTAGACGCCTACTCTCCCCCATGCATAAACTGATTCACACACATACATGCGACTAAAAGGAAGAAAGGGAATGTGGAAATGACTGGGCGGTTAAAAGCTCAGGCTACTCTTCCATTGGGCCCAGATTTGATTCCTAGCCCCTTCATGGTAGCTCACAAAAGTCTGTTGCTCCAGTTCCAGGAGATTCCTACGCCCTTTTCTGGCCTCTGAAGACCCTGCACACACACACACACACACACACACACACACACACACACACACACACGAAAATGAAAAAGCAAATAAGAGTGATGCATAGCCAAGGGCTGGGGGAGGGGAGAGATGGGAGGTTTGTTTGACAGTTTCAGCGTCTCAGCTCTTTGAGACATTCTGGTCTTGTACTGTACAGCCACGTGGAGTCCTTAACACTACGTAACTAGAATCGACCTCGAGGCAAGCCTCCTTGCCTCCAGCCCACGCTCTAACCACTCCCTCCTCTTCCTGTGTTGGCATGCTGTGCTAGGAAAATGATTCTTTTTCAAGTTTATCAATAAATGATTTTATGGCCATACAATAATTACACATATTAATGGGTTCAGCGATAATTCAATCCATGATACAATATTGAACAAGGAAATATGGGTAATTAGAGTTTTCATCTCCTTAAATATTTCTTTGTGCTGGGAGAGGAAAATTCTTGGCTAAAGTTCAGAGGTGACCGGTTATTGGAGAAGCTCTTAATCAATGAATTAAACCCCCCCAAGTAGTAGGTTAAAGGTTCAAGGCTTAGTCAGTCCTTTGGAGTTTTAAACTGCCCCCTCCTCTTATTCTTTTTCTGCCACCATCATTACCGGGTGTGTGTCATGCCACGTGGGGGTCAGTTCTCGCCTGCTACCTTTGTGTAGGTTTCAGGTATCGAACTCATTGAACTCAGGTCCCCAAGCTTGTGTGGCAAGCACCTTCACCCATTGAGTCATCTTGTAGTCCTCTATTCCTTTTTGAAACTGTAATGTTGGTGTAATTGTAGATTCACATTTATAGTTGTAAGCAATAATATGAGCTGACCGCCAGGGGACGAGGAAAGTGGGGGGACTTTGCAATACACGAAGTCATTGTTCTCATGTCCCTAGCTTGACATATGTGAACCCAGGTGGGGATGTGAGATTTTACTCAGGTTTCCCAATCCCTTTCGTTATTTTAAAATATTTATTTTCATTTTTAGTTACGTGTGTATGTGTGTAGATCTGTGCAAGCAAGTGCAGGGGCCTGAACAGTCCAGAGGAGGATGCAGGATCCCTCTGGGTGCTACATGTGGTTGTGAGCCACCTGAACTGGGTGCTGGGAATCCAACTCATGTTTCCGGCCAGAGTGGTATATGCTCTGAACCAGTGAGTTATCTCTCCAGCTCCCTCTGCCCTGCCTTTCTTTCTTTGTCTCCTTGTTTCATATGTCTCTTGATGTAGCCCAGACACCTGAATCTTGTGATCTTGCTTCAGCCTCCTGAGTTCTAGGATTACAGGTGTGTGCCATGATGTCCAGCTTCTGTTCAGCTCTATCACCTGAGTGGGTTCTTGTCACTACTGTGGCTGGTGTGGGAGAATGGTCTGTAGTTTGTCAATTATATTTTAAATAAACGCTGATTGGCCAGTAGACAGGCAGGAAGTATAGTGGGGGGACAACCAGACAGAAAGTAGAGGTGAGTCAATGAGAACAGGAGAATTCTGGGTAGGAGGAAACCCATTTCTCGGCAGTTCTGCCCAGACACAGAAGGAAGTTGTGACTGCCTCACTGGAAAAGGTACCGAGCCATGTAGATAAGAATAATGGGTTAATATAAGAGTTAATAAGAAGCCTGAGCTAATGGGCCAATCAGTTTATAATTAATGTAGACCTCTGTGTAATTTCTTTGGGACTTAACGATTGTGGGAATCAGGCAGGACAGAAAACCCAGTCAACAAATGGTGCCCAACATGTGGACAACTGCATCCACATAAAGCCTGACAGAGCTTGGGAAGTAATTCTAGACAAAAAAGAAGAGAGTTAAGTGCAGATTATTGATAGCAGCATTTTCTCAGGTGGGCTCTGTTTGCTAGAGGCAAATGCATTTCATTTAAGAGAGGCTTCCTGCCTCAGCTATAGCTGTAAAACCTTGCAGCTCTTTTAAGAGGTCCTGCCATGAAATACTTGAATGGTGTTGATGAAAAGCTGATTGCATGCTTTCTGGTGGTGGCGGGGACCTTAAAACACTATAGAGTTGTGGCAATAAACATGGCTCCAGCCGGTACCTCTGCCATGAGGCTGGAATTTCAGAAAGCTAAGGAATGGGCTGGATCCAGCCATCAAAGCCATGGCTTTAATCCTACCCATATTGCTTAGCAAATTAAAGGCTCATGTGGTCAGAAAAAGAGAGAGATATACAGTAAAGAGCTATTCAAAGATGAAGAAAACCTCTAAATGGTTTACAGTGTGTTAAAAATATATGCAAGCTTGGGAGAGAAAAGAAAATGGTTGAATTCCTTAAAATAAAAAAAGAGAGTAATTGGGTGTGGTAGCACACATCTTTAATCCCAACACTTGGGAGGCAGAGGTAGACAGATCTCTATGAGTTCAAGGATAGCCTTGTCTACAGAGTGAGTTCCAAGACAAAGATACATAGAGAAATCTTGTTTCAAAAAGCCAAAAATTAAAAATAAAAGAAATAGCAGTTAAAATAAAGCCATGTAAAGATGGAAAACACACAGAGAATCTGGATATTGTATGTTATTATGTTTTCTTTGAATTATTTGAATGCTGAAGAAGAAGCAAAAGCTACTAAAAGATATTTGTTTATAAATGCTGCTGAATTAGTCCAAGATAGGTATTTTGAAAAACCTTGACTTCAAAATTGAAGTCAAAAGGTATGTTACTTTGGAGAAGAGGGGTTGCTTTTGTTTCCACAGGAAATGGGAAGCTATGGATTTATTCTAAAGTAAGAAAAATCAGGTTTGATCAAGGAAGACCACCTGAGACATATCCGGTAGGAACAGATGGCCCAGATGTCAGAATTCTACATCCAGCTGGATTCAAGATGCTGCCTGAGATGATCAAGCCTCAAAGGATACTTTAGTCAGGACTTGATCATAATTCTAAATTTTCTTTAGGTCCCCATAAGATTATCAGTGCCCCCAACCAGC